ATTTCTCTTCAAGAATTGACCGCAGTGATTTCTTCATCTAAATCATCAACGTGTCTCTTAGACCCCATCCCAACTAGGCTACTTAAGGAGGTCTTTCCTTTAGTTAACACTCATATATTAGATATGATCAATATATCCTTATTAACAGGCTATGTACCACAGTCTTTTAAGGTAGCTGTAATTAAACCTCTACTAAAAAAGCCCACCCTGGATCCAGAGGTGTTAGCCAACTATAGACCAATATCTAATCTTCCCTTTATGTCAAAGATCCTTGAGAAAGTAGTCGCAGACCAGCTGTGTGATTTTCTCCATGATAATAATTTATTTGAGGAATTTCAGTCAGGATTTAGAGTGCATCATAGCACTGAGACAGCACTAGTTAAAATTACAAATGACCTTCTGATTGCTTCAGACAAAGGACTTGTCTCTGTACTTGTTTTATTAGATCTTAGTGCGGCGTTTGACACAATTGACCATCAAATTCTACTGCAGAGACTGGATCACTTAATTGGCCTAAAAGGTTCTGCACTAAGCTGGTTTAAATCTTATTTATCTGATCGTTTTCAGTTTGTTGACGTTCATAATGAATCATCCTTACGTACCAAAGTTTGTTTTGGAGTTCCGCAAGGTTCTGTGCTCGGACCAATCCTATTTACTCTATATATGCTTCCTTTAGGTAACATCATTAGAAATCACTCTATAAATTTCCATTGTTATGCGGATGATACTCAGTTGTATTTATCGATGAAGCCAGAAGAAAGTAATCAATTAACTAAACTCCATAACTGCCTTAAAGACATAAAAACTTGGATGAGCACCAATTTCCTGATGTTAAATTCAGACAAAACTGAAGTTATTGTTCTTGGCCCCAAACAACTCAGAGACTCTTTATCTGATGACATAGTTTCTCTAGATGGCATTGCTCTGGCCTCTAGCACTACCGTAAGAAACCTCGGAGTAATATTTGATCAAGATTTGTCTTTTAATTCTCATTTAAAACAAACCTCACGGACTGCATTTTTTCATCTGCGTAATATTGCGAAAATTAGGCCTATCCTGACCCGAAAAGATGCAGAAAAATTGGTCCACGCTTTTGTTACCTCAAGGCTGGATTACTGTAACTCTCTATTATCAGGTAGCTCTAGTAAGTCCTTAAAAACTCTCCAGCTAATTCAGAATGCAGCAGCACGTGTACTAACAGGAACTAAGAAACGAGATCATATTTCTCCTGTTTTAGCTTCTCTGCACTGGCTCCCTGTAAAATCCAGAATTGAATTTAAAATCCTACTGTTAACTTATAAAGCTCTAAATGGTCAAGCTCCGTCATATCTTAGAGAGCTCATAGTGCCATATTATCCCACCAGAACACTGCGCTCTGAGAACGCAGGGTTACTCGTGGTCCCTAAAGTCTCCAAAAGTAGATCAGGAGCCAGAGCCTTCAGCTATCAGGCTCCTCTCCTGTGGAATCATCTTCCTGTTACGGTCCGGGAGGCAGACACCGTCTCCACATTTAAGACTAGACTTAAGACTTTCCTCTTTGATAAAGCTTATAGTTAGGGCTGGCTCAGGCTTGCCCTGTACCAGCCCCTAGTTAGGCTGACTTAGGCCTAGTCTGCCGGAGGACCCCCTATAATACACCGGGCTCCCTCTCTCTCCCTCTCTCTCTCTCTCTCTCTCTCTCTCTCTCTCTCTCTCACTCTCATCCTATTACTGCATCTTGCTAACTCGGCCATTCTGGATGTCACTAACTCGGCTTCTTCTCCGGAGCCTTTGTGCTCCACTGTCTCTCAGATTAACTCATATCGCAGCGGTGCCTGGACAGCGTGACGTGTGTGGTTGTGCTGCTGCCGTGGTCCTGCCAGATGCCTCCTGCTGCTGCTGCCATCATTAGTCATTAGTCATACTTCTACTGTTATTATACACATATGACTATTGTCACACATGTATACTGCCAGATATTAATACATACTTTCAACATATTGTACCACAGTAGCCAGAACTATAACTATAATATTATTACTTTCAATAATGTTGTTGTAAGCTACTGTCATTACCTGCATCTCTCTCTCTCTCTCTCTCTCTCTCTCTCTCTCTCTCTCTCTCTCTGTCTCATTGTGTCATATGGATTACTGTTAATTTATTATGCTGATCTGTTCTGTACGACATCTATTGCACGTCTGTCCGTCCTGGAAGAGGGATCCCTCCTCAGTTGCTCTTCCTGAGGTTTCTACCGGTTTTTTTCCCCGTTAAAGGGTTTTTTCTGGGGAGTTTTTCCTGATCAGCTGTGAGGGTCATAAGGACAGAGGGATGTCGTATGCTGTAAAGCCCTGTGAGGCAAATTGTGATTTGTGATATTGGGCTTTATAAATAAAATTGATTGATTTATTGATTGGTCTGCCCAAGGTTTGGGGCAGGGAAGGTTTCTGATTGGATAGGGGGCGGGGCAGATGTTACGTGTTTACATTTACCAGAAGAAAACACTGTAGTCCTCGCTCCAGATAACAAGATGCTTGACGACGCCGTTCTTAGTGCCTTTTTCGGGCTTGTTTTGCTTATATTCTTGAAGCAGCAATACGACAACAACCTTGTTCTGCTAATGCTTTGTCTGTTGATGAGGAGAAGGGAGGTAGAAGACCGTGCTGTGGCGCATGGAAACCGGTGAGTGCAACGAGTCCGACTGCTCTATCTCAGCCCGTTGTTATGCGTGCTATATATGTCATCGCGCCAGAAGGGCAAGGAAACAAGCACGCGCAGAAAGACCGGAATGAACTTAAAGAGGAATGAGTGTATACATGCACACAAAATTCTTTCATTCGGAATGACAAACGGAATAAACCATCCCTTTTAATCGGATTTAATTTTCAATCGGAATGACCATTTTTCAATCGCAATGACAGTTTACATGACCACTTTTACTCGGAATGGCCTTTCATTCCGAATGAAAGTGGAATTAAACTGTCCATGTAAACGTACTGACTGTCAGAAGAACTTTGGATATTATAGATCAAGTACAACATAAAAAACAAAGCACTATATTAGTAAGCATAGACGCTGAAAAAGCATTCGACTGTGTAAATTGGAGATTCTTATATCAAGTGTTAGAACGGTTTGGATTTAACAGTAAATCAGTACAATGCATAAAGACACTATATCAACTGTTCACCACGAGAATTAAGATAAATGGAAACTTGACTGACAAAAATAAATTTACAGAGATCAACCAGACAGGGATGTTGCCTGTCACCCACCGTATTCGCTCTTTTCGTAGAACCACTGGCACAAGCAGTTCGTCAGAATACAGAACTTGAGGGAGCTATAGTAAACGGAACAGAACATAAAATAGGACTTTATGCTGACGACGTCATCACTTTCTTAGAGCAACCAACAAAATCACTCCCTGTACTGATGAAAGTTTTAGAAACCCATAGACATCTCTCGGGATATAAAATTAATATTTCAAAAACACAGATACTATCACTTAACTACACTCCACCAAGAGAGATACAGGAATCATATAATCTTAATTGGAGTTTAAAGAAAATTAAATATCTGGGGGTCACCATCACTAAAGGATTATCAAAATTATACAAAGAAAACTATGACAAAATAACACAAGAGATACAAAAAGACATTCAAAGATGGTCCACTCTACCGCTAGATCTTAGCTCGAGAATTGAAATAATTAAAATTAATGTACTATCTAAGCTTCTCTATGTCTTCCACTCTTTACCTATAGAGGTCCCTCAAACCCAATTATGATATCAAGATTTGTTTGGGCAGGCAAGAAGCCCAGAGTTAGGTATAAGACTCTTCAGCTGCCAAAGGACAGAGGGGGAATGGGTCTCTCAAAACTGAAAGAATACTTCTATGAGGCCCAGCTTAGAAATTTGATATGCTGGTGTAAACCAGATTACACGGCTAAGTGGAAAGAAATGGAAAAAGAGTTCAGAAGATACCCAATTCAGAATGTTATTGGAGATAAATAAGTATACAATAAAATAAAAAAAAAAACAACTGGATTCAATTACATTGTTTACTTTGGAATTATGGTTTAGAATCGTTAAAAGTTATGGAATAAAGAAGGATAATAATCTGTTAAAATGGGTTGCATTTGATAGCAACTTTCAGCCGGCCGCATACGACAAGGGTTTCAAACAGTGGGAGACTAAGGGAATTACAGCATGGTGTACTCTAGAGAAAGATGGGGAGCTGGAGAGTTTCCAAAATATGAGAGACAAATATGATCTGGGTAAACACGAATTCTTTAGGTGCTTACAAATAAGAGATTACTACAGGAAGGAAATCAAGATGGATCCCTCCATGGAGGTGAATGGTGTGATTCAAATTATAATCAATATGTATAAGGATACAAAAATCAGAATAATATCTTCACTTTACCAAAAATTGACAATAAACAAAAACTCAACTAATTATATAAAAGAAAAATGGGAATCGGAGCTCAACATAAAAATCTCAGACAAAGATTGGCAAAATATGTGGAAAACGCATCAAACATCCACCAATTCGCCGATATGGAGGGAGTTTTCCTGGAAAAATTTGATCAGATTTTTTATCACACCCAAGGTCAAGAGTAAATATTTGAATGTGAACCTACCATGTTGGAGAGAATGTGGAATATTATATACAGATCATGTACACATATTCTGGAAATACCATAAGGTACAGCTGTTTTGGAAAATTGTACATGTAACTTTGCAAGAGATACTAAGATAGGACATTCTTATGAGCTGTATGGTACTCTATGTGTAATTTCACAGAAGTGTACATGCAGGGGATAGGTACCTGGTTAAAATATTGTTAATAGCTGGCAAAAAGGCTATAACAAGGAAATGGTGTAAAGTAGATCTGCCGACCTGGGAACAATGGGTAGAGATAATAGAGGAAATCTATACAATTAAATGGAAGGGTTAGAGATAATTAAATGGAAAAACTGACACATCGTTTGAGATTGCAAGAAACACAGCTGGAAGACAAGTGGCTGAAATGGACATTTTTCATTACATTAGCAACAGACAATTGAAAGGACAACTGATATAAAGGACGAAACTGTGAGAATGGATGGACAAAAAAAGAATGTAGCTCCCAACAGGACATTACTCTTTCTTTTATATTCTTTGTGTGTCTTTAATGGCACGTGTGCTGTGTTTGTTGATGTATGTGTAAAATGAGGAAAATCAATTAAAATTAAAGTGAAAAAAAAGAAAGAAAAAGGAAATGACATCACATACCAGCGCAGTGTTCATTAGACGGCCATTTTAGATTTAGTCCTGAGATGAAGGTCAGGGATAGTTTATTAAAATTTGTTTTTATTACGTTTGTTTTTATGAAGATGAACAACAAACAAACATCCATCATCATCATCACCACCATCACCGACACACTGATTACTGTAAACATTCCTTTAGTGCAACAAGATTTTATGGCTTCATCTTCAAACATGACGTTACAGCCTGCAGGCAAACAGCAGGGCCAAAAATAAACCACAGCCCCAAACTGAAGAAATAAAACAAAAACAAGTCCTCAGCACATTTAAATTCATTCATTGATGTTTCCGTGCAGTGACAGAAAGTCATTGTTGATGTTTCACAATAATCTGCACTATAAATAAAACAACAACAACAAATAGACATCACATGACTCCAGCGAGGGTTTTTACCCAGAATGCATCATGACTCTGCTCACATTCAAACTCACAGCATCCAATCAGCTCTTTGGACGGTTCACCTGAAGACACCTGAACAGGTGTCTGTTTCTAAAACTGCCGACATCCACTGCTGCTTCCTGGTTTATATTAAAGTTTATTATCATCATTATTATTATTAGAAACAAACAGGTTTTTTTTACATGATTATTAATCATCAGAGTTTATAAACAAACAGACAGACAAACAAACAAACAAACAAACAAACAAACAGAGTTCAGCTGCAAATATTAACTGATCAAATTATAAATGATTTCAATCTGAACACCAAAATCATATAATGGTCACATGACTCAACTTTACTGGTCATACTGGTCTGTTAATGGTCATACTGGTCTGTTAATGGTCATACTGGGCTGTTAATGGTCATACTGGGCAGTTAATGGTCACACTGGGGAGTTAATGGTCATACTGGGCTGTTAATTGTCATACTGGGCAGTTAATGGTCACACTGGGCTGTTAATGGTCATACTGGGCAGTTAATGGTCATACTGGTCTGTTAATGGTCATGCTGGGCAGTTAATGGTCACACTGGGCTGTCAGTGGTCATACTGGGCTGTTAATGGTCACACTGGGCTATTAATGGTCATACTGGTCTGTTTAAAGGGACAGTCCCACAGTTTAGGTGCAGCTGAATCATCAGAAGTGGACAGGAAGTAGTTGTACCAACAGGAAGTGGCTGTGCCGACAGGTAGTGGCTGTGCTGACAGGAAGTAGCGGTATTAACAGGAAGTGACCTCATTGTTTGTTGCTCAGTTTGAGGAAGCGCTGTGACTTCTGTCTCGCCATGCGGTGCTGCTGCTGTGCCACCTGAGCGTCGGATATGGCCGTGTGCAGCTTCTGTGGGTAACCATGGTAACCAGATGAGGGAGTGGCCACATAAACCGAAACATGAAGGTAACACACACACACACACACACACATACACACACACACAGAGTCTGGGCTGGGATTTACTCCACATGGGTCTCACCTCTGATGTCACAAGCAAACATGGAGGTGACCACCAGATGATGATCATCATCATCACCACCATCACCATCATCACCACCATCACCACCACCATCATCATCACCATCATCATCATCATCATCATCATCATCACCATCATCACCGTCATCATCATCACCATCATCATCACCACACACTACAGCCACAGATCTTAGCTAGCAAGCTTTTTAATTATAACCTCAATAGCTCCACTATTGCTTAGGTCACTGATTACCTCACAGGTAGGCCTCAGTATGTGAGGCTTCATGGCAGCAGATCAGAAACTGTTACTACAAGCACTGGGGCACCACAGGGTGCAGTTTTATCTCCGTTTTTATTTACGCTGTACACATCTGACTGCAGGCACAGCACTAATTCTTGTCATTTACAGAAGTTTTCTGATGACTCTGCCCTAGTTGGCTATATTTTTAATAATGACAATGTAGCCTATCAAAAAGAAGTGGACAGTTTTGTCAGTTGATGTGAGGAAACCCACCTTATTCTAAATGTAGACAAGACAAAGGAGCTTATCATTGATATAAGAAGGAAAAAACCTGAAGCAACTCCTATTTAGATTAAAGGACAGTCTGTAGAGATTGTATACTCATATAAATATCTGGGTGTGCATGTGGACTGTAAACTGGACTGGAAGATGAACTCTAACTCTATTTTTAAGAAGGCCCAGTCCAGATTATTTTTCTTGAGGAAACTCAGATTATTTGACATCAGCAGATCTCTTCTAAATGTTTTTTATAATGGTATTTTAGCAAGTGTCCTCTTTTATGTCGTTGTTTGTTGGGGTGGCAGCCTAACAGGAACAGGATCAACAAACTTATTAGAAAGGCGGAATCTGTTATTGGTATGAGCTCTGCTTCTCTGGAGGTCATAACAGAGCAGAGGACTAGGAGGAAGCTTAGAGCTATCTTGTCTCAGGATGATCACCCCCTGCATAGCACTTTTGTTAGAAGTGGCAGAAGTAAGCGGCTTCTTTTGCCCAGATGCTCCACAGAAAGATTGAGGAAGTCCTTTGTTCCTGCAGCAACCAGGCTTTTTAATTTGGATTGCTGATGTCATTTCTTGCTGCTATACTAGTCCTTGAACATTGCACTTTAAACTTTAAATTGTAGCTACACTCCCTTGCTGTCATGTTTTGCTGTTATACTTTTCCTTGTACATTGCACTTTAAATTGCAGCGACACTTTCTTGCTGTTATAACTTGCTGCTATATTTGCTTGTACATTGCACTTTAAATTGCAGCTATACTCTCTTGCTGTTATAACCTGCTGCTATACTCGTCCTTGTGCATTGTACTTTTAAATTGCATTTGTACACTTTTTATTCTTTTTAATCTTTATTTATTTATTTTTTTTTCTGGTCATTTTGCTATTGTTGTATTGGACCACTGCACTCCTAGGTGACGCTGTTGTATATGTATATTTTGTCTGTGTCTTGTTGTTGTACTGTATGTTGGCCATGGTGGCAATCCAGTTTCCCCCTTGGGGATTATTAAAGTTAATCCAATCCAATCCAATCCAAAAAACCATCATCATCATCATCATCATCATCATTGTTATTATATTACCTGTGCAGTCTTTGGGTCTCTCAGCTGAACGTTCCTCACAGAGTCCTGACCATCTTTCTTTGGTAACTTCAGTTTCTGCTGCTCCTGAAAGACAGACAGGTCAGTCAGTCAGATGGATGGACGGTCGGACGGACAGACAGACAGACAGACAGACAGACACACAAACACACAGACACACAGACAGACAGCAAGTACCTTGCAGTAGATCTTCAGCTCAGATCCCGTCACAGATGCAGGACGATAAAAGTTCTCAAACAAACATTCCCACTCTCTGTTAAAGTGTCCAACGAAGTCGATCTCTTTCACACACAGGACCCTCCTACACAACAACAACAACAAACAACAAACAACAACAAGAAATGCAAAAAAATTATACTATATGACAACAACAACCCTCCTACACAACAACAATAATAATAATAATACACTACACACATGGGTGGAGGTGGTGTGTGGGGTCCCTTTACCAGTGTCCTGGGAGTCTGAGGGTTCAGTATCTCAGCTGTTCTTCTAGACAGAGCTCAGATGTTGGACCTGAATCTGCTGGAGCCACTCTCCCAGTCTGGGGGTCACAGCCTCCAGTGTTCCCAGTGCTCCCACTGCTCCCAGTGCCCCCAGTGCCCTAGTGCTCCCATTACCACCTTTACTCCCTTTACTCCCCACTTCTTTTCTAGCTCCTCTTCCAGCCCTTGGTATTTTTCCTTCTTCCTGATGATGCTGTCATCCATCACCACTGTCTTCCTCTGTTGTTTCTCCGGTTGGTTGGCAGTAAGAACTGTTCTGATTGGTTCTTATGTCGGTCCAAAGGTTCATTAGTAAACACACAAACTGCCAACAGCTCCAAAGAGCCCTGCCCCCACCAGCAGTGCCATGATGTCACTTCTGGGAGGAAACCTCCACCAATCGGCACAACTCAGGCACTTTCCTGTTCCTCCACCAATAACCAGGCACAAACACAGGTGGTCGACAGACTCAAGCTAACGCATCGTGGACAGATAAAAGCAACAACAGTCTTCATCATGGGACAGAGGACAACTGATCACAGAAGAGATGTGACAGTGTTTAAAGTCTGCCCTTCACCACGTGTGAAAGTGTATTATCCATGCTGCAACCATCAATTGATCTCACGTAAGGGTAAATAAATGACACTGTAATATAAAAAGTGTTGCCATAATAATTTTACCTCCATCAAAAATTATATCATAAATGAGGCTGTGCCTTTTACAGAACATCTGCTCATGTATTTGAAGCCTAGTCTACACAAACACGGGTATTTTTAAAAGCAGCGCTTTAAAACTAAATTTCCGTCCAGCCGAGTGTTTTGGCACCGTTTCAGGAAAAATCCCCGTCCTGATACGCCTGAAGCATATCACATTAAAAAATAACTTACATGTGCATCCCGTTATAAAGGGAAACGTGGTCGCTGCTCACCGATAACACATTTGATACTGAAACATTTGTAACAGCATGTGTTCATCTCTCTTCATTGCAGTTCAATGCCAGTTTGTGAGGCACCTGTAGCAGCAGCATATCCACGTTTCATTGCTGAGTGTGTGTGTGTGTGTGTGTGTGTGTTTGTGTATGTGCGTTTGTGTGTGCCGGTATTTGGACAGGATGACACTGCCTGAGAGGACATCAAGTGGACTGAAGTTTGTCCTTATAAAATGATTAACATGAACCAAATAGCTATGCGGACGGTGATGCCTTTGGTTCAGTTGAGTGAGCGCAACGATACGCTGTAACGCAGCCATAATCTCGTCAAGCAGAGGCAACGCGCTTGACTGCCTTTATAGCTGGTGCCGCCCGCGTGATTAGTTTCCAGCTGGCCTCATTAGACTTCAATTTGATCAATTAGTCAAGTATCTGTCAGATATTCAGTATATAGTGGGAGGTTACAGCCTGTAGCCTTGTCAGAAAAAACATACCCTCAGTTAGTTAGCTCCATTAAATAAATGAATGAATGAATAAATAAATAAACCCATATATTCATAATATTCAGTATTCATTATTATTTTTCATGAAGTTAATTTTAAACTAAGGATGTAATGTGTGTAAGGAGTCTAGATGTGAACTATACTGCAACTGTCCATTTAAAAAGCATAATTTTGGCCTAATAAAGCTCAAACCGTGACAGGATGAACGGAGTGCATCACTAAGGGACAGCTTACAAGTGGTTCAGACTGCCCTTCTTAAGATCTACCTTTCAGAAGATAGATCTTCACTAAGTGAAGTTCGTACCTGTTGGTGACGATGATGTTGGTCTTTCGGTGTCCAGGATACTGACAGTGATCTCTGAACACTTCACCTTCCAGCTGTTTGATATCTGAGCGCTGAAACACAAACACACACTCCTGATTTTATTTTACAATCTCTGGTATCGTTCAAACTCGATCCGTGGTGGAACCACACAGATTGAGTTTGAGTCTTAGAACACAGGTAGAGAAGTTTCAATCATGGCTCCGCCCCCATTTTACTGAGCGACTGGTTGTACAGTTAATACAGAGACATTATCCCATCACGTCCATCCTGTCTGTCTTTATCTGTCTCTCTCTAACTTCCTGTCTTATCTCGTCTTGTCTTCTTCACCAGTTCGACATACACAGTAACCATCTTCATCAGCGTTTAATCTACTAATTCATTCATTCATTTAAAAACTGGTAACAGTGACTCAAAGAACCTCGATAAGTCCCAACAGAGATCGTTGATCAGTACAAATAAACAGTAACACGTGTGATGTCAACAGAAGACGTTGGAGATAAATAAATAAACTAGGGTGACGAACGTCTCACTTTCAGAGTGAAATGATTCATTTATCCGTTCTATGAGACAAGTGACAGACTTCAGAATCATCTGTAAAAGATACTTCCTCTGTGGATCGTCCGACTCAACATTAACTGAATGTCACTGATTCAACGATTCCAGAGGTTGAGCGCTCAACACAGCGGCTGTTCTTTGTTATTTAGATCAGGACTCCGTAATGATGATCGACTGAAGTCACATGAAAAACACCAATGTTCTGAATCATCGGTTCTATTGGACCGAGCCGAGTTCTGTTCGAACGATACCTTATTCAACCGTCAATCTTTCAGTAGACAGAAAAGTTTGTTCTACTGAACATTCCTGATACTGAAGAATAAAAACAGGTTACAGAGGAAACATGAAGGTTAAGTTTTATTGAACACAAACGTTACAGACGTTGTCTCATACACACACACACACACACACACACACAGACAGAGGTAAAGCTCAACAGAAGCAGAGTCAGAGGTCGCAAGTCATGCTGAGACACCAACGATCAGTTCAGTCTGAATTATACAAAGACTTCAACACAGACAGAAATATTAAATATCATATGTTCATGTACACATTCAGAATGAATTCAGAGGAGATGCTACAGTCTGTTAAAAAATATACCAAAGATCTACTGAAGAGAAAACATGTCACATATTTCTAATAAAATAATTGCCATTGCTTCTTCTTTTAAATGTAAATAAATTAATAATGAAAGGTTTTCACCAAAAAAAAAAGTTTTACAAACTGTTGTTTATAAATGGCTATAAAGAGAAACTACTTCAGGATTTCAGAGATAAAAAGCAGAAGTGTTTATTCTACTAAAAAAATTAAAACTGAGAGCTGAGCGTCAAAATGTTGAAGATACGAGAGAAGATATTAATTTAAACATGCAAAGACTCCTGAATGATCTCAGCACTTTAATGTTCACACATTATTGTAGAAAGAACAATATTCAGAGATTCAAGTCTAATGAACCATTTTTATAGATTCCAATATAATGAAGGATATTTACAGATTCAAATATAATTGAGAAAATTTACAGATTCAAATATAATAAAGGATATTTATAGATGAATGTAGAAAGAAAAATGCTTACATAAGGAGAAAATAAATCACTAAACACATCTGAGACAAAATGAATCAAGTTTAAAGTCTTTAAAAGCACTTAATGTTAAAGCTGATCCATCCAAACCCTGTTTATTCCTCCTCAGGCTGCATGTGACACAAACACAGGAAGAAGAAGGAGGAGGAGAAAGAGAAGAAGAAGAAGGAGGAGGAGAAAGAGAAGAAGAAGAAGAAGAAGAAGAAGAAGAAGAAGAAGAAGGAGGAGGAGAAGGAGGAGGAGGAGAAGAAGAAGAAGAACAAGAAGAAGAACAAGAAGGAGGAGGAGAAGAAGAAGAAACTGGTTAGAGGCAGGATTAAGCAGAAAAAACAAAGATGGACACTCAGACTCACCTTTAGATTTTTATCATGACTACAGCACACACCAACTATTGTACCTGACTACTGTATCCGACTACTGTAGCTGACTACTATACCCAGACCTGACTACTGTATCCAACTACTGTAGCTGACTAGTATACCCAGACCTGACTACTGTATCCAACTACTGTAGCTGACTACTATACCCAGACCTGACTACTGTACTAAGCTACTGTACCCAGCTACTGTACCTGACTACTGTAGCTGACTACTATACCCAGACCTGACTATTGTACTAAGCTACTGTACCCACCTACTGTACCCGACTACTCTAGCTGACTACTATACCCAGACCTGACTACTGTATCCAACTACTGTAGCTGACTACTATACCCAGACCTGACTACTGTATCCAACTACTGTAGCTGACTACTATACCCAGACCTGACTACTGTACTAAGCTACTGTACCCAGCTACTGTACCTGACTACTGTAGCTGACTACTATACCCAGACCTGACTACTGTACTAAGCTACTGTACCCAGCTACTGTACCCGACTACTCTAGCTGACTACTATACCCAGACCTGACTACTGTATCCAACTACTGTAGCTGACTACTATACCCAGACCTGACTACTGTATCCAACTACTGTAGCTGACTACTATACCCAGACCTGACTACTGTACTAAGCTACTGTACCCAGCTACTGTACCTGACTACTGTAGCTGACTACTATACCCAGACCTAACTACTGTACTAAGCTACTGTACCCAGCTACTGTACCCGAACCTAACTACTGTACCCGGCTACTGTACCTGACTACTATACCCAGACCTGACTACTGTATCCAACTACTGTACCTGACTTCTATACCCAGACCTGACTACTGTACCCAACTACTGTAGCTGACTACTATACCCAGACCTGACTATTGTACTAAGCTACTGTACCCAGCTACTGTACCCGACTACTGTAGCTGACTACTATACCCAGACCTGACTACTGTACCCAGACCTAACTACTGTACCCGACTACTGTACCTGACTACTATACCCAGACCTGACAACTGCATCCAACTACTGTAGCTGACTACTATACCCAGACCTGACTACTGTACTAAGCTACTGTACCCACCTACTGTACCCGACTACTCTAGCTGACTACTATACCCAGACCTGACTACCATACCAAGACCTAACTACTGTGCCGACTACTGTACCTGACTACTATACCCAGACCTGACTGCTATACCCAACTACTGTACCTGACTACTATACCCAGACCTGACTACTGTACCCAGCTACTGTACCTGACTACTGTACCCGACTACTGTAGCCGACTACTGTACCTGACTACTGTACCCAGACCTGACTGCTATACCCAACTACTGTACCTGACTACTATACCCAGACCTGACTACTGTACCCAGCTACTGTACCTGACTACTATACCCAGACCTGACTGCTATACCCAACTACTGTACCTGACTACTATACCCAGACCTGACTACTGTACCCAGCTACTGTACCTGACTACTGTACCCGACTACTGTAGCCGACTACTGTACCTGACTACTGTACCCAGACCTGACTGCTATACCCAACTACTGTACCTGACTACTATACCCAGACCTGACTACTGTACCCAGCTACTGTACCTGACTACTATACCCAGACCTGACTGCTATACCCAACTACTGTACCTGACTACTATACCCAGACCTGACTACTGTACCCAGCTACTGTACCTGACTACTGTACCCGACTACTGTAGCCGACTACTATACCCAGACCTGACTACTGTACCCAGACCTAACTACTGTACCCGACTACTGTACCTGACTACTATACCCAGACCTGACTACTGTACCCAGCTACTGTACCTGACTACTGTACCTGACTACTGTAGCTGACTACTATACCCAGACCTGACTACTGTACCCGACTACTGTATCTGACTACTGTACCCGACTACTGTACCTGACTACTATACCCAGACCTGACTACTGTACCCGACTACTGTACCCAGCTACTGTACCTGACTACTGTACCCGACTAATGCACTTGACTACTGTACCCAGCTACTGCACCTCACTACTGTACCTGATAGTGTTGCACAGTATACTGGTACCAACGGTAGACCGCGGTACTTAAACACCACGGTGCATATGATACCATAATGTTGGAGTACCGTAGTACTACGGTATCTCACAGTACCACTACTGTGGGATAAGTTCAAAGTCCAATCGCAAGAGGGTGAGTGTCCATGCGCCGTCCAATAACGGCGCGCGCTGGCCAATAACGGCGCGCACTGGCCACCTGGCACTCAATATGCTGCTGCAGTGGTTTGTTTCCAGTGACATTTCAGGTATTAGCTGAGCTATTGAGTATCTTTAAGCAGTGAAAGTTATTATTTTTTTCTTTTTACTTGTAGGCTAGATTTGTTTATATATGCTACAGTGATTTGTTTTCCACAGAGCTCTACGGTGCGAGCATTTTACTCGCATTTGCGACTAAAAATAGTTTTGTGCAAGCAAAAGAAGTCTTTCAGGAGCACGCTGTGCGAGTACAGATTTCAACCAGCAGCAGAAACGAAAGGCGAATCCTGCCGGTTGTGGGTTGAACAGGGGTCACAGACAGGAATACGGCGGAGTGCTATGGCCATCGCAAGATAACGGCTTACCAGCGACCGAGGAGCCAGGCTCCAGGTCCAATAATTTCCTCTTGGAAATTGTGTCATAAGTACCTGGACAACCGAGCCATGGCGGCACACAGGTATGTGATGTGTCAGAGGAGAGACAAGTTGTTCACATTTCTCTCTTTGTGGCAGGTAACGGTCCACAAACCTCACCGCACTTTAGGGACTGTTCTTTACTTATGAAGGGACTGTTCTTTACTTGTCAGGGGAGGAGGGTGGCTGGTTGATTTTTATTTTATTTATTTATTGTATTTTGATCCCCCCTATGTTAATCACTTATTGATGCTGTTTTTCTATGAATAAGTCAGTAAGTAATTTATTCCATTGAAATATCATTGATGTATTATAGAAAAGTGATTTATCTTTTTATAAATGACAAAAGGCACATCTGCCTCATTTTTGCTGTGGTATTGTGGTACTACTCAGAACCATGATACTTTCACTGGTATCGTACTGTGGGTCCCAATTTTGGTACCGTGACAACACTAGTACCTGACTACTGTACCCGACTACTGTACCTGACTACTGTACCCAGACCTGACTACTGTACCCGACTACTGTACCCAGACCTGACTACTGTTCCCAGACCTGACTACTGTACCCGACTACTGTACCCGACTACTGTACCTGACTACTGTACCCAGACCTGACTACTGTTCCCAGACCTGACTACTGTTCCCAGACCTGATGACTGTTCCCGACTACTGTACCCGACTACTATACCTGACTACTGTACCCAGACCTGACTACTGTTCCCAGACCTGACTACTGTACCCAGACCTGACTACTGTTCCCACACCTGACTACTGTTCCCGACTACTGTACCCGACTACTGTACCTGACTACTGTTCCCGACTACTGTACCCGACTACTGCACCTGACTATTGGACCTAGCTACAGTACCCAGAACTGACTACTGTTCCCGACTACTGTACCCAGCTACTTTACCTAACTACTGTACCTGGCTACCGTACCCGACTACTGTACCCAGCCTTACCCGACTACTATACCTGACTACTGTACCTATCAGTGCAGGTGTGTGTGTGTGTGTGTGTGTGTGTGTTTGTGGTCTTTGACTGGACACCAGTGTATTAAAAAGTGTAAATAAAGTTTACAGAGACGATGACGTCATGAACTGATCCTGTTGATGTTTTTGACCTCTGCATTTTTTCCTGAGTCACAGTTGTTGTTTAGACAAACACCTGACTTAAGCTGAGTGACACAGAGCACACCTGTGTCCTCTGAAGACACCTGTGTCCTCTGAAGACACCTGTGTCCCCTGAAGACACCTGTGTCCTGTCTCCACTGAAGACACCTGTGTCCACTAGAGACACCTGTGTCCCCTGACGACACCTGTGTCCCCTGCCGACACCTGTGTCCTGTGTCCCCTGAAAACACCTGTGTCCTCTGAAGACACCTGTGTCCCCTGAAGACACCTGTGTCCTCTGAATACGTTGTGTCGTACAAAGTGAAAGATGCAAAATGATCGAACCTGAAACAGGTCGAAACCTTGCGACTCCGTCAGGTCATACGGTCGGATGATCCCATCCTCCCTGATCAGACGCACCGGCCTCAGTTTGGTCACTTCCTCCGTTGACTCCGCCACTCTGACATCACAGACACAAACACAGTTTACAGCTGACCTTTGCCTGTGAACGATTTATTCACCAGAAATTGTTGTGAACCTGACCATCACATGTATTTACAGAAATATTAATGACATCATCTAGCTGAAACAGGAAGACCCCAGTTGATTGGCTCGTCAGGATTCAGGTGGAGACGTTTTATTACAGGCTGATAATACAAGTGTGTTTCTGGGGAGCGAACCTGTGAAAGGTTCATGTTCAGTGCACACGATGCTGTTAGAGTCGTCTGTCAGGTGGGATTCTCACCTTTCATGACCTCTACAGTGACAGCATGAAACAGCAACGTTTAACAGGTTATCATGAACTGACTGATGTCACATGACAGATGGAGGAGGATGAAGATCACTGAGGCAGCTGGGAAGTGTTACAGGAACAGAAGCAGGTTGTCGAAGCGACGACACGTTTACTAAAATATTGATGTTAAAATGTTTTTGTTTTGTTTCAGATCATTAAACGATCACGTTTGATTGGTCAACGATGACGTCATAGCTGTAAAATTATAATATACAAAGACATTAATATTTAACCACAGAAACTGTGAAACTTAATGTATCAGTGTTAATTGTAAACACAGATATTATAAAATATATATGTCATTAAAGTGTTTAGTAATATTTATAAATCAGTTGTTGTTATTTATGTTTATTTATTGTTTTATGATGTTTGTGTTGTGTGATTTTAGTTGTGATGAATACTGCGGCGAAGAAAACTGATGCCCAGGACAGTAAAGACTTTTTGATCTGATCTAATCTGATCTGATCTGGGCCCTATTTCAGAAAGCAGGATTAGTGAAAACTCTGACTATGTTGAGCCTGAGATGAAACTCTGAGTTTTCCATTTCAGAAAGCCAGCTCAGCGAAACCCTGGGTCAGTTACTATGGCAACTTACTCTGTGAAGCAAACCTGCTGGCTAGTGGGTTTTATGCATTGCCCTTTGATTCTTCGGCAGGGGCAGTTTTCTGTATAACATAGGGTGACCAGACGTCCCGAAAAATTTGGGACAGTCCCGAAATCCAAGCAGTTGTCCCGAATCCCGAATCCTGCCCTAATTGTCCCGAACATTACACCAGAGCAGAGTCTGGAGTAGTTATTGCCTGATAAAACACTAAAAATTGATCATGGTGGTTGAGTCGTCCTGCAGCTCCCGCCGGCTGCACATACTCAGAGTTGATTGAACTTATGCTGATCAGTTGTTCTGGAACTGAAACCTCAGAGTCTCTCAGCTCAGGCTCAGTTAACCTGGGGTCCGTTTCAGAAAGGAGGTTCAACAAACTCTGAGCCTAACCCTGAACTCTGATTTGAGTAACTCTGAGATGGGAAACTCTGGGTTACGGGTTTCAGAACAGGTGATTTCAATCAGTTCAATCAACACAGAGTTTGTTCACTCTGAGTTAAGCACGTGCACCACAACTTTAAAAAGCCGTCATCAATGGAGCCCCGATACCACGATTCACCATGGCGACAACCGACAAAAAAAGGTCTGCATTTTTTACTCCTCTGGAGTTGGATATTTTAATGCACTCATACAGCGAATTTGAAGCTGTTTTCAGGAAGAAGAGGAACACGGCTGCAGCAGCGAAGGAACGGGAGTCAGCGTGGGAGAAAATTACTGCTCGAGTCAATGCGTAAGTTTAAATTTATTTTATACATTTATGCAATCACAATAATATTAGGCTACAGATGCAAACAGGTGGAATGGTGTTAAAGCTAAAATTTAGTTCACTTAGATGCAATCCCACCGGTGAAAAAAGAACGTGGAAGCAGCTCAAGATTAAATATAAAAACATCATTCAAACAGGTAAGACTTCAGCATAATAGTCGGGGTGCCTCTTTTTTATCATGTTTACCAGTAAATGTCATTCAGCGGCTGTTTCAGTGTGCATTATCCCCATGACATAAATATATCACAAAATATGTCACAGTATAGTAGGGCATAAAAATATCATTAAAAAAATCCCATTATATAGTGTGGCAAAAAAATATATATATAAAAAAGTCAAAGTAGGCTACAGATTAGCATAAAAATATCATAGTATAATAGGCCATAAAAGCATCATAAAAAATGTAATTGAATGTTATGGCATAAAATAAATTAAAAAAAAAAGGCCTAAAAATACCAAAAAACAAAAAAAATAGATAGTATGGCCTAAAAATATAAAATGCCATGGTCAAAAAAAGCAGATTTAGAACTAGAACACAGTTTTACCTTAAGGACAGATGATCAAACTCGCTGAAACCCGCGCGACACTAAACAAATGAATGAATGAATGAATGAATCACACTGTGTGTGTGTGGCGTAAGAGGGAGGAGACAGCTAGAAACTCGAGGTTCATTGAAGAAAACCTGCTCCCGACCAGGTTAGGTTCACAGAGTCAGTTGCCATAGTAACTGACACCGAGCTTCAGTTACCTTTCTTTCTGAAACGGGCTGGAGTTACTCCACTTTCTCTGGTTTAAGTTACCTCCCTTTCTGAAATGGAAAACCCAGAGTTTCCCTCGTTTCAGGGTTAACAGACTCAGAGTTTTCACTAAACCTGCTTTGTGAAACGTACCCCAAAGGGGTATTCCAGGTAGGAGGTTCAACAAACTCTGAGTCTAACCCTGAACTCTGAGTTGATTTACCCTGAGATGGGAAACTCTGAGTTACCGGTTCCAGAACAGCTGATCTGAGTTAGTTCAGTCAACTCTGAGTATGTTCACTCTGAGTTAAGCCGACAATAAAAAGCCATCATCAATGGAGCTCCGACTCCACGATTCACCATGGCAACAGGTAAATAAAAGACAGCGCCTCCATTTTAGTCCAGTGGATGTAGAGATATTAATGCATGTGTAGCAGACAGTGCACGTTTATCTTTAAAAGAAGAGCCTGAGTCAGAGCGAGGAAAGTGTCAATAAGTTAACCATAAAGTTAATAAAAAAGTTTACTCATCATTTATCAGACTTACATTTCCTTAATGAAGATAAAGTGGTGGAATCTGACTGTGTATCAGGCTGTAGATACATTACATTATATTAATAATATATTTGTTCAGATTTGATCTGATGGGGAAAAACACAGGAGGCAGCAACTGAAAAATAGGAAGATTTAAAACATACAGGCTAGGCTATAAAGACATAAAGACATGACTGTAAACTCACAGTCTGACCCAGTAATAATATGTTTGGTGATTTGCACTTGAAAAGACGTTGAGGTTAAAATACAGTAGATTTTAAAATGTTGCACATCTATTTGTATCTTGACTCAACAGCATTCAGTGACTTTATTTCAGCTACAAATGTAATAGATTTAAAGACAGTGAAATGCTGCACCATTGCTCACTCAGAAATATGAACATATAATCCCCAATATTAGGCTATAGGAATTATGTTCCATCAGTGCGACCAGTGACATCAGTGACAGAGATCATTAGTCATTGATACTACGTGTCTAAAGCTTCATACAGATTTTTAAAATGTAAATAATTAGACCTACACATTATGTGCAATAAACATTTGGGAGCTGCTCTAACAGACTGACAGTCTGATCCTTGTGCACAGTGTTATAAAAATAATAAATTAAAAAGGACAGAGGTTTGATTCTGAGCTGAGGGTGAATTCTCGCTGTGTAATATTTGAATGTAAAGACAAAAACTGATGTCCAAAGAAATGACTGATGTGCATAAATTCAGTAACTTAAGACAGTCCTGAGTAACAAACTAATATCCAGCAGGATTTAGACTGTGACAGACGGTAAATCTCCGCTAATGAATGCGCTTCGATACAAGCTTTGACACGGACTGAATGAATGAGGAAATGAAACAGCGTGTAAGAGGGAGGAGACAGAGAAAAACTCAGGGTTTATTGAAGAAAACCTGACAGCGAGCAGGTTAAGTTCACAGAATCAGTTACCATGGTGAATGACTCAGAGTTTAAATTACCTCTCTTTCTGGAACTGAAAACCCAGAGTTTCCCTCATTTCAGGGTTAACATACTCAGAGTTTTCACTAAACGCGCTTTCTGGAATACCCCTCAGGACATCAGGATTAGGTTCAGAGTTTGTTCAGCCTTTTCACATTTCAACTTTCACATATTAACTTTTATTTATACTGTGTTTATTTACCTGTGTGTAACTGTGTTTATTTACCTGTATGTTTTATGTTTTTCAGATGTACTTATTAAATTTTCGCAGTTACATTAACGAGTTCCTTCTCAGAGGTGTTTGTGTTTTGTATTATTTACAAATATCATTAAACATGTTTTTTTCTCTGTGATTCAAATCTTTGAGTTCCCAAACAAACAAGCAGTCAAACAGACTGAAGCTGTTAGTGTTTCTCTGAGTTATCGTGTTAAACAGCAAGTTACCAAATTCAGGCAGAGTCATGTGACCATTCAGTCAGCCAATCCCTGAGGAGAGAGCAAGATCCCTGTGGACCGGCACAGAGCAAGGATTTCTGGGTAACTGACTCCACCTCCAAATCTTAGCAACACCAATGCATCTGAGCATCTGTGTACGAATGTTTGATGGAGGCGGAATTTGATGGAGGCAGGGTCAGCGTGTCAGTATCGACGCCTCCAGCTGCTCATCTCGGTTTCAGTTCAAGAGTCTTCAGACGAAGGACGTGAGTGGACTGTAAACTTTGTCTGTTAGGATTTAACCCGAGTGTCAGGTGACTCTCCTCAGGGGCCTGGCCTCTTGACTCACGATGCTGCAGCAAGCTGAAGGGGCGGGGCTTATAGAGGGGCGGGGCTACAAGCAGTTTCGGAGTGATGAAAGATATGAACATGAATCATGATGGATTAGGTTATTTTTTTTGACACGATGCAGTGACTTACCGTCCGTCTGCTGCAGGATGACAACAACATGCACAAACACACAATGCGTGCACATTAAAGCTCGTCTCCTTCAGGTCGCTCATTTCCTCTGAGGTTAACGAGGCACTACTGCGGCGGTCCTGACATTCTGCGGTTCTCTGACAGAACCAACAGACTGAACATGAGCGCTGACGAAGGAGATCAGCTTTAACATGTTTCATGAGAAATACTCACACACCAAAACCACGAGAAAAGAAAGAACAAAACTCCGACGACACCAGACAGAAAAAACAGAACGTGAAAATTAGTGAGCAGAGAAGAAGAACGAGGAGACAGCAGACATGTTGTGACGCACACAGACAGACAGACAGACAACACAGAACATCTTTAACAGCAAAGGAACGACCTCAGAAAGCTTGACAGGAGGTCAGGTGACCTGCGCCGTACCTCTGGATGCCCTGGAAGGTGCTGCTGGCCATGTCCACGATGCCGCCTGTTGGCCTCGCCACCACGCCCACCAAACCTTTCCCGATGCCCTTAAAGAACCCTGCCGCTCCCTCCTTCTTTGCCCCTGCAGACACAAACATCACGTGTGACGTTCCGCTGCAAGTCTGAACTGTAAAAACTCAAACGGCAGAGTTGGATTAAAAACTGAGAAGAAATATAAAGCAATCGTTTACTGTGATTTTTACGCTGATCAAAGTTCAATAGAACACATAATTTAAACTTCCTGTTGTTGTTATAATCTGTCCTCTAACGACACCTTTGATCCACGATGTCGTATTTCCCAGCTTCTTCACCTCTGCTGACATTTTTATTTTTTATTTATCTTCATTACACCTGCATTTTATGCAGTTTTATATACGACCAAAAAAAACAAATACATAAATAACTGTAAAAAAAAAAAAAAAAAAAAAATCTGTTTAATAACAAAAGGAAACGAGCAAAAGATGAAACATCAAACCAGCGTCTGATCACCAGTCTCATCACTGCATTCAAAGACATTAATTATTAAAACTACCTGACGATCTGTGAACTCTCTCTGCTCCACAGATACACTGACCTCACCTGAAGGTAACCATGACAATGTGAAGCACCCAATGATGTCATAAAAACCCAATGATGTCATAAAACCCAATGATGTCATAGCCCGACCAATAACACGATGAAATGTCCTGAATGAAACTGTAACAACATTTTTACTGATAATTTAATGTCTCATTACAACTTGTGATGACTATGAGTTCAAGTTAAATAGGCCACGTCCACTTCCATATGGCCCTTTAGATTTCGGTTAAAACTTTGCTCCGGAGCACGCACACCACATCTGGTGAAATTCTGACCGCTGGTTTTTAAGGAACAGATTTTTGGCACCCCCTGTAGGTCTGCATCTTCACAGTCTCGTTCTGAAAATATAACCAACGTTTATGATGATTAAAAAATTTGTTAATGAGTTTGGCCATTTTAGTGCTAAGCCCTGCCCTTTGTGAGTTTTTATTGGCTGACGGCGGCCATGTTTTTTCCACCAGTTTTGCTCAGTTATAACAGGGAGTTGAATTTTTAGAGAAAATCTGAACTCTGTCTTTTTTACATGATGACATCACAGATGGTTTAGACCCAGCTGAGAGAAGGTTATGACATCATCGGGTCTAGTTACACCATCGATCGAGTTACGTTCACGAATGTGTGCGCAGGAATGATGACATAATCAGTATTACGAGTTATACGGCAGAAGAAAAGGAGGAAGCCTTACCCTCCACAGGTTTGGTGACGATGCCTGTGACTCCGCCCATGACTCCCTGCAGAGACACAGAGTGTTACTGACCTGAGATCAGCTGTTCAGGTGTGTTCAGGTGTTCAGACAGGTGAGTGCAAGCTGACCTTCAACAGCCCTTTCCCTCCTTTAGCCAGACTCTCTCCAAAGTCTTTGGGTGGTCGGTTCATCTCCTCCCGTCGTTTCTGTTGGTACTCTTTATCCATGGTGATGGCAGCCAGACCTTTACCCACTGAGCCCGTGATCCTGGACACCATACCTGCAGCGCCACCTGCAGGAGGACAGGAGGACAACACAGTCCCATTGGTCCGTCTCACTCCTGTAACTCCGTCACGGTTACACTTTCATTTCCTCCTTTTATTCCAACGCTCTTCTTCTTCATCACCACCACATACATTACAGTGCACCTCCACATCTGACAGCTGGCTGTGTTAGCAGCTGATGTCTCTGCAGCAGAGACGTCTTTTTAACTCCACACCTCAAACCTGTAGTCTTCAACTGACACCAAGGACATTTATAAGACATCTCACAGCTCCCTCTGGAGACACACTGAATAAAAAAAAATAATCTTCATCAGTATTTGCTGTGTTTGAATATCCCCTCCATCACCTCACACACCGACTGACGGAGCTGTGAACCAGTGATTCTGTGTTCTGCTACAGAAAATGTTTGTGTTGATGGAGTGTGGCAGCTCTGAGCTCACTTCCTGTGTGATGGCGTGAAGTTGTGAAAATATTCTAAATAAAACACATGTCTGGTATTGATTATTTTAGATGGCTAAAAACAAAGCAGGTGCGTCAGTGTTTGTTCTGTATCATCTTATTTTACTGATGATGACACAAATGTTTTTAACTGAAAATAAAATCTGAGATTCAGGTGCAAATATTTAGGTAAGCCAGAGTGACCAATCAATGACAGACAAACTTGACATATGATCATATTCAGTTCATTATTATGTGAATCACAGACAGCGTCTCACTGAATGTTGTCATGTGACTGAACAAACAGAAAGTAAAGAGATTTTCTTACCGACAGTGTGACCCAGCAGGCTGCGGACTCCGATCACAAAACCTTCAGCAAACTCCTCGGGACCCTGAACAGCTCCCTGATGAACACACAGCAGTGCAAGGGTTAAAACCAGGCTGCATACGTCCCGTTCATCATCGACACAGCACCCTGCCAATGAGGGCCCCAGCAGGAAACTGTTTCAAAGTAAACTGTGGTACGAACCGTCGTTTCTGAGACAATGATCGGGACATCAATCAATCAATCAATCAATTAATTTTATTTATAAAGCCCAATATCACAAATCACAATTTGCCTCACAGGGCTTTACAGCATATGACATCCCTCTGTCCTTAGGACCCTCACAGCTGATCAGGAAAAACTCCCCAAAAAAACCCTTTAACAGGAATAAAACGGTAGAAAGCTCAGGAACATTTAATATCATTATAAACCTGCTGCCGACACAAAGCAGATGATTTATAAACATGTTAAACACCTAGTTTTCATTTTAGAGTTTGAATTCAATTATTCATCAGTCAGTTTGATTTTTAGCTGACATCATAGTTAGATAAGAGGAAACAGGCTCAGTTGTACTTGACGATGACGTCATATGAAGCTTCCTCACGTCTGTTTCACATCAAACTAAAATGTTTTTACCGACAACGTTCAAAAGAGTTTTTACTTGAGAAAGTAAAGAGTTTACTTGAACTTCTGATTGTGGACGGTTGAGATGTCGATGATCAATCACCACAGCAGAGGATAACGTAACATTAACTTTTCTCACTTATCACGGACAGTGTGTGTGCGTGTGTGTGTGTCTGTGTGCGTGTGTGTGTCTGTGTGCATGTGTGTGTCTGTGTGTGTTACCTGGAAAGGTTCGTAGAAGAAGGCCTCGACTCCCTCAGACAGACCTCGGATCAGTCCAAATGGGTTTCCCAGGACGTCCAGACCCAGAACCAGAACGTACATCTGCTTCAGGAACTGCAGGAACAAAATCACAGCCTCAGTCTGTGCCTTCATCACACATTCATCACACTTTCATCACACATACATCACACATTCATTACACGTTCATCAGACATTCATCACACATTCATCACACATAAGGACGTGGTAGTTAGGGGTTTGGTTCCAAATCCAACCAAGGGGAGGAAATGGAAGCCAAGATCGGCAGTTCAGGAGGCAGAGACAGCTCTTAGACATGCAGAGATTGTAGGTAATGTTCAGTTTGGCCGGGGAGGCCTGGGGCTTGGCTCAGGCAAACCGGTATGGAATACAGCAGGTCTCAAAGATAAAAGAAAGCTGGTTGTGGAAAAGATAGTGGGTGCAAAGGTAGTGGCCCAGGCTAAACAGGGACAGTGGTTGAATTGGGAAAGTGTAGAGAAGAGGAAGCTTAGTTGGAGGGACCTGTGGAGTATGGAGGAGAATAGTATTAGATTCCTGGTAGGGGCTACATACGATGTGTTACCAACCCCCCAGAACCTAAAACTGTGGGTAAATGAGGACCCATCATGCCCATTGTGTTCAGGTACTGCAACCTTAAAGCATATTTTGTCAGGCTGTAAAGTTAGCTTGTCACAAGGCCAATATACATGGCAACATAATCAGGTGTTGAAATGTTTAGCTGCAGGCATCGAAGGGAAACAAAGACAGGTGAATTCAGAAGGTGTTAAGGATAGGAGTTTAGAAATTCAGTTTGTCTGTGAGGGAGAGAAATACAGAAGGGATAAGTTAGTAAGGAGGCAAGGGTGTGGCCGCCTAGAAGGTGCTTGTGATTGGGAAATGAAAGTAGATTTAGGGGGAAAGCTTGTTGTTCCCCAGGAAATAGTTTGTACCAAGCAGAGGCCTGACATAGTGTTGTGGTCAGTGAGTCAAAGGATAGTATATATCATTGAGCTGACAGTTCCTTGGAAAGACTCAGTGGAAGAAGCCTATGAAAGAAAAAAGCTTAGATATGCAGACTTAGGAGCAGAAGCTGAGCAGCGAGGATGGAAAACTAGGATTTGTCCAGTGGAAGTGGGGTGTAGGGGATTCATAGCAAGACCAGCTGTCTCGCTCCTGGGGGAACTCGGAGTGCGGGGACAGAGTTTGAGGAAGACAGAGAAGGAAATGTCAGATGAAGCAGCTAGATGTAGCCAATGGATCTGGAAGCGTAGAAATAATGTTAGTTGGGGGCCAGCAGGGGGAACTACTAAACAGGGCACATAACTCCTTGAGATCAGGTGGAGAGATCAACTTCCTCTCAGGAGGAAATCCAGGAAGAGGAAGGTTATTTAAGTGTGGGAGTGGCCTATTAGAATCCATTTTGTTTGAGACCATGAAGCAAGGTGAGTGTGATTGCTGATCCTGTAAGTTAATTTAACTCCTTTAACTTTAGCTTATATTGTAGTTATGCTATGTAGCGTGTGAAATAGAGTATGGTGAATGTGCTAGGAAAGGTAGTATCAGCACTGCTTCTACCTAGAGCTCGCATGTACGGAGCCTGGGTTTGGTTGAAGGTGGCGGTGCTGTTTGGGCCGAGAAAGCCATGTGTAAGTAAGGTAAAGGAGGTTATTGGGTTGGTGTGGGGAGCAGTGAGACCTGGCATTAGGGGAGTGTCTCTGGGACGCCAGAGATCACTGTCTAGCCTCCTGGAGGTGTTGTGGGACCAACTAGATGAAACACTGGTAAAAGGAGGTTCCCACCTGATGACCCCAAAGACATGTTAGTTATCACTGCTCACTGGTCTCATCACATGTTCACCATACATTCATCACATGTTCATCAGACATACCTCACACATTCATCACACCTTCATCAGATGTTCATCACACCATCACACGTTCATCACACATTCATCACACCATAACACGTTCATCACACATTCAAACATTCATCGCACCTTCATTACACATTCATCACATGTTCATCACACCATCACACATCCATCACACCATAACACGTTCATCACACAATCAAACATTCATCGCACCTTCATTACACATTCATCACATGTTCATCACACATTCATCACACGTTCAGACATTCAACAGACTTTCATCACATATCCATCGCACTTTCATCACATTCATCAGACATTCAACAGACTTTCAGCACACGTTCATCAGACATTCATCAGACTTTAATCACACATTCATCACATGTTCATTGGACATTCAACGGACTTTCATCACAAGTTCAGACTGACGAAACACCTCCTGAAGACACCAAGAAGAATCATGGATTTAAGAGAAGTCTGACGGTGCTGTCGGACTTGACAAGTGAATGAATGAATGAATGAATGAAGCCTTGTTTAGACATGTTTTATTATTTAATTAAAGATCAGTTCTTGTCTTGAGCTGCGGTGGTAGTTGTATTAAAACTCTATGGGTCGCCCAGACGATTGGACTCTTTTCATCAGAACATATTAACGAAGGTTTTCAACGTCGGGTTGCAGGAGGCCAAACCTGCTGTCTTTTAAAAGGATTCATTAAAATCATCAGTTCATCAGGCACTCCTTCATTCTGTGATAAACACAGAGTCCATTAATGTCTGAGCTGATTCACTGAACAAACACAGAGTCGTTCTTCCTTTTTACAGCATCATAAAAAAATAACATATACTGAGAATTTAAACCCTGTGATACATCGTCCTCTCCCCTCGTACCAGGACACCCGTCCAGACTGTCCCTTATTGTCTCTGCACCACCGACAGAGCCTTCACACAACACCCCTCCATCTTAGGGAACAGGGCGAGGAGGGTGATGATGTCATCTCCCTCTACGCAGATGACATCATAATATTTTGTCTAAATAAAACTCCTCCCTGACAGCTCTCTGACTTTCTACTTTATAAATGTATCACTTTGTTTTCAGGACGTTTCAGACAGACAGTCTCTGATCGGCCTGGTGAATATAAACAGTTCAGGGTTCTGCTGTTCTAAAACACAATCTTGTCCAGGTGTCTGAATATTTGAGAACCTTTATGAGAACAAGACAATCGGGTCTTCTGAATGTGGGACAGCTCCCGTCAATCCTCCTCAAACTGAACTGAATTTACAGAGAAATAAGTGCAGATTATTTCCTATAGAAGTCAAACACATTCTCTGGACATGCTTATAAAATTAGTTTTCTTCCTGTTCTCGTCTCTGTACCCAGCAAGCAATAGTCGTGATTTAAACGTATTGGCTATATTTAGCTCCGATTTAGTCTAGCTACATGTAACCCAAATCTAGCCGATTTAATTTTGAAATTGATTAAATGTCATTTTCGCCATTGCAGATGGCGTGCCGTATGATATTCAATCACGTATGGAGAGTCAACAGTAATTAAAATATGTTTATCTCCATTTTTTGGACATGGTCTCTACATAGCCGTATAATTGATGACATATACACTTTGGCTATGGTTAGACGTCTACCAAATTTTCACTGACAGCCCAAATTCAGCTGTGATTTAGCCTAGACATCAGGTCTTCATGTAGACAGCTATTAGACATTTTTTAAAACAAAAAATGCTTGCTGGGTAATGTCTCTGGATCGACAGATGTTTTGTTAAAAATCTGTTCAAAGCAAATAAAAAACTGGAAGAGCACGAGTTAAAGAACCGACAATTACTGAAGAAACATACAAACTGCCTTTAGACAGAAAAAAAAAACACGGAAGAAAAATGGAGAAAAGGAAATTATAAAAGATTCAGAACAGAAACAACAAAACAAACCTGCAAAGAAATCCAAAAACCACATCCATGGTTTTTTTATTTCAAATGCAGAAACACGCTGAGACGACTGCTCATCCACATTAACCCATTCACAACCTAGTTGTGTTCCAAACAAACAAATGTATATTAATATATATATGTAGTGACAGAGGATTTCTATTCTATAGGCAGTCATAAATCATTTTAATAATAATAATAATTGACCTAATTTTTGGTTAGGATAATTGTTGATAAAATGTTGTTTTTCCTGTCCATTCTGACAGATGGAGTCCGAGCACAGAAAATGAACGGTTAGGAGTATGATGACAAATGATCTGATCAGATGTTTTTTCAACAAAAAATAAAGATTATTTTTGACGACTGATATCAGTGAACAAAGTGATGATTTAAAACACATCACATACATATTTTATATTGGTTTTGTCATCACAGCTCAGAATGTCCTAAATCTCTGACATAAACCTCCTGAGGTGAATGTTGTGTGCAGATACTCAGACAGTGGATGAATGGATGAGGGTGATGATGACATGATGACCTGGACGTTACCTGTTCAGTGTAGTGTCGGACCACTGCCCACATCAGCTTCTCTCTGCGGTAAAACTGGTACTTCACCTCAAAGAAGGCCAGTCTGACGGAAACATCACAGACAGGAAACAGACACTGAACACAACATCACTAAAGTAAAACAGAAATGTTTCCTCTTCCTGTCGCTGCTGAGTTCAAACTGAGATCTGATTTATCTCATGTTGCATTAAAGTGACAACAAAGCAGCACAAGCACAATACTGAGAGCAGGAAGAATTGTCTCACTTAAAGATGAGGTCGTCAACGTCCGTCAGCGTCGCTCCGATACTTTTCAGCAACAGGTTCAGAGACTGCATCGCCGCCGGCTCCTGAGCCGAGTCCTCGCCACCGGAGCCCAGAGACAGACTGAGATGGAGCTGAGATATAAAACATAAAAACTGAGATGGAGCTGAGATATAAAATATAAAAACATACACAGACTGAGATGGAGCTGAGATATAAAATATACAAACAGAGACAGACTGAGATGGAGCTGAGATATAAAATATAAAAACATACACAGACTGAGATGGAGCTGAGATATAAAATATAAAAACATACACAGACTGAGATGGAGCTGAGCTATAAAATATACAAACAGAGACAGACTGAGATGGAGCTGAGATATAAAATATAAAAACAGACAGACTGAGATGGAGCTGAGATATAAAATATAAAAACATACACAGACTGAGATGGAGCTGAGATATAAAATATACAAACAGAGACAGACTGAGATGGAGCTGAGATATAAAATATAAAAACANGCCAGCAGGGGGAACTACTAAACAGGGCACATAACTCCTTGAGATCAGGTGGAGAGATCAACTTCCTCTCAGGAGGAAATCCAGGAAGAGGAAGGTTATTTAAGTGTGGGAGTGGCCTATTTGAATCCATTTTGTTTGAGACCATGTTGCAAGGTGAGTGTGTTTGCTGATCCTGTGAGTTTATTTAGCTCCTTTAACTTTAGCTTATATTGTAGTTATGCTATGTAGCGTGTGAAATAGAGTATGGTGAATGTGCTAGGAAAGGTAGTATCAGCACTGCTTCTACCTAGAGCTCGCATGTACGGAGCCTGGGTTTGGTTGAAGGTGGCGGTGCTGTTTGGGCCGAGAAAGCCATGTGTAAGTAAGGTAAAGGAGGTTATTGGGTTGGTGTGGGGAGCAGTGAGACCTGGCATTAGGGGAGTGTCTCTGGGACGCCAGAGATCACTGTCTAGCCTCCTGGAGGTGTTGTGGGACCAACTAGATGAAACACTGGTAAAAGGAGGTTCCCACCTGATGACCCCAAAGACATGTTAGTTATCACTGCTCACTGGTCTCATCACATGTTCACCATACATTCATCACATGTTCATCAGACATACCTCACACATTCATCACACCTTCATCAGATGTTCATCACACCATCACACGTTCATCACACATTCATCACACCATAACACGTTCATCACACATTCAAACATTCATCGCACCTTCATTACACATTCATCACATGTTCATCACACCATCACACATCCATCACACCATAACACGTTCATCACACAATCAAACATTCATCGCACCTTCATTACACATTCATCACATGTTCATCACACATTCATCACACGTTCAGACATTCAACAGACTTTCATCACATATCCATCGCACTTTCATCACATTCATCAGACATTCAACAGACTTTCAGCACACGTTCATCAGACATTCATCAGACTTTAATCACACATTCATCACATGTTCATTGGACATTCAACGGACTTTCATCACAAGTTCAGACTGACGAAACACCTCCTGAAGACACCAAGAAGAATCATGGATTTAAGAGAAGTCTGACGGTGCTGTCGGACTTGACAAGTGAATGAATGAATGAATGAATGAAGCCTTGTTTAGACATGTTTTATTATTTAATTAAAGATCAGTTCTTGTCTTGAGCTGCGGTGGTAGTTGTATTAAAACTCTATGGGTCGCCCAGACGATTGGACTCTTTTCATCAGAACATATTAACGAAGGTTTTCAACGTCGGGTTGCAGGAGGCCAAACCTGCTGTCTTTTAAAAGGATTCATTAAAATCATCAGTTCATCAGGCACTCCTTCATTCTGTGATAAACACAGAGTCCATTAATGTCTGAGCTGATTCACTGAACAAACACAGAGTCGTTCTTCCTTTTTACAGCATCATAAAAAAATAACATATACTGAGAATTTAAACCCTGTGATACATCGTCCTCTCCCCTCGTACCAGGACACCCGTCCAGACTGTCCCTTATTGTCTCTGCACCACCGACAGAGCCTTCACACAACACCCCTCCATCTTAGGGAACAGGGCGAGGAGGGTGATGATGTCATCTCCCTCTACGCAGATGACATCATAATATTTTGTCTAAATAAAACTCCTCCCTGACAGCTCTCTGACTTTCTACTTTATAAATGTATCACTTTGTTTTCAGGATGTTTCAGACAGACAGTCTCTGATCGGCCTGGTGAATATAAACAGTTCAGGGTTCTGCTGTTCTAAAACACAATCTTGTCCAGGTGTCTGAATATTTGAGAACCTTTATGAGAACAAGACAATCGGGTCTTCTGAATGTGGGACAGCTCCCGTCAATCCTCCTCAAACTGAACTGAATTTACAGAGAAATAAGTGCAGATTATTTCCTATAGAAGTCAAACACATTCTCTGGACATGCTTATAAAATTAGTTTTCTTCCTGTTCTCGTCTCTGTACCCAGCAAGCAATAGTCGTGATTTAAACGTATTGGCTATATTTAGCTCCGATTTAGTCTAGCTACATGTAACCCAAATCTAGCCGATTTAATTTTGAAATTGATTAAATGTCATTTTCGCCATTGCAGATGGCGTGCCGTATGATATTCAATCACGTATGGAGAGTCAACAGTAATTAAAATATGTTTATCTCCATTTTTTGGACATGGTCTCTACATAGCCGTATAATTGATGACATATACACTTTGGCTATGGTTAGACGTCTACCAAATTTTCACTGACAGCCCAAATTCAGCTGTGATTTAGCCTAGACATCAGGTCTTCATGTAGACAGCTATTAGACATTTTTTAAAACAAAAAATGCTTGCTGGGTAATGTCTCTGGATCGACAGATGTTTTGTTAAAAATCTGTTCAAAGCAAATAAAAAACTGGAAGAGCACGAGTTAAAGAACCGACAATTACTGAAGAAACATACAAACTGCCTTTAGACAGAAAAAAAAAACACGGAAGAAAAATGGAGAAAAGGAAATTATAAAAGATTCAGAACAGAAACAACAAAACAAACCTGCAAAGAAATCCAAAAACCACATCCATGGTTTTTTTATTTCAAATGCAGAAACACGCTGAGACGACTGCTCATCCACATTAACCCATTCACAACCTAGTTGTGTTCCAAACAAACAAATGTATATTAATATATATATGTAGTGACAGAGGATTTCTATTCTATAGGCAGTCATAAATCATTTTAATAATAATAATAATTGACCTAATTTTTGGTTAGGATAATTGTTGATAAAATGTTGTTTTTCCTGTCCATTCTGACAGATGGAGTCCGAGCACAGAAAATGAACGGTTAGGAGTATGATGACAAATGATCTGATCAGATGTTTTTTCAACAAAAAATAAAGATTATTTTTGACGACTGATATCAGTGAACAAAGTAATGATTTAAAACACATCACATACATATTTTATATTGGTTTTGTCATCACAGCTCAGAATGTCCTAAATCTCTGACATAAACCTCCTGAGGTGAATGTTGTGTGCAGATACTCAGACAGTGGATGAATGGATGAGGGTGATGATGACATGATGACCTGGACGTTACCTGTTCAGTGTAGTGTCGGACCACTGCCCACATCAGCTTCTCTCTGCGGTAAAACTGGTACTTCACCTCAAAGAAGGCCAGTCTGACGGAAACATCACAGACAGGAAACAGACACTGAACACAACATCACTAAAGTAAAACAGAAATGTTTCCTCTTCCTGTCGCTGCTGAGTTCAAACTGAGATCTGATTTATCTCATGTTGCATTAAAGTGACAACAAAGCAGCACAAGCACAATACTGAGAGCAGGAAGAATTGTCTCACTTAAAGATGAGGTCGTCAACGTCCGTCAGCGTCGCTCCGATACTTTTCAGCAACAGGTTCAGAGACTGCATCGCCGCCGGCTCCTGAGCCGAGTCCTCGCCACCGGAGCCCAGAGACAGACTGAGATGGAGCTGAGATATAAAACATAAAAACTGAGATGGAGCTGAGATATAAAATATAAAAACATACACAGACTGAGATGGAGCTGAGATATAAAATATAAAAAGAGACAGACTGAGATGGAGCTGAGATATGAAATATAAAAACAGAGACAGACTGAGATGGAGCTGAGATATAAAATATATCAATAATCGATATAGGTAGTCACCTCAGTTCAGGGTTGAGTTCAGCGTTCGGAGTATAAACGAAAACTATGAAACTCCGACAGGTTGGACAGTGAGGGAACAGTTATAAGATTTACAGGAGAAGTGTGAACACTGAACGTCTTGTCACCTTGATGGGTGAGATGTGGAAATGTTCGAAGAAGCTGAGTCCTGACGTATCGGTGAGCGACGCCTCCATCAGCTCCGTCTGCAGCAGCTGCAGATCTCTCTCTAGCAGCTGAGACTGAAGCACAAACATGGCGGACATTAACCTTATGTGTGCAGAAGGGTTAGCAGAGTTAAACTTGCAGCATCGCCCTACCTTCTGTCTGTCGGCCTGAGGGTCAGTAGCAGGTGTGAACAAAGCCAAGATGGCTCCCAGGAAACCCTGATCAATCTTCACCGCCATCTCCTGAACCAGAGCCATGAAGTACCTGAAGTGCACACGAACACCGGCAATCAGTCACATGACACATACAGCATCATAACAGAGGTCATACTCAGGTCAAAAGGGGAGATCTGTCAGGACAAGAGGAAGGTCAGGAGCAGAGGAAGGTCAAGACGAGAGGAAGGTCAGGAGGAGAGGAAGGTCAGGAGCAGAGGAAGGTCAGGACGAGGGGAAAGTCAGGAGGACAGGAAGGTTGGGACGAGGGGAAGGTCAGGAGGAGAGGAAGGTCAGGACGAGGGGAATGACAGGAGCAGAGGTAGGTCAAGACCAGGGGAAGGTCAGGAGGGGAGGGAGGTCAGGAGGAGAGGAAGGTCAAGACGAGGGGAAGGTCAGGAGGGGAGGAAGGTCAAGACGAGGGTAAGGTCATGAGGAGAGGAAGGTCAACAGGGGTGGAAGGTCAGGAGGAGAGGAAGGTCAAGTCAAGGGGAAGGTCAGGACAAGAGGAAGGTCAGGAGGAGAGGAAGGTCAGGACGAGGGGAAGGTCAGGAGGAGAGGAAGGTCAGGACGAGGGGAAGGTCAGGAGGAGAGGAAGGTCAGGACGAGAGGAAGGTCAGGAGGAGAGGAAGGTCAGAACTTGAGGCAGGTCAGGAGGAGAGGAAGGTCAGAAAGAGAGGAAGGACAGGAGGGAAGGATGGTCAGGAGGAGAGGAAGGTCAGGAGGGGAGGATGGTCAGGAGGAGAGGAAGGTCAGGACTCACTTGAACTGCATCACATTGCTGTGCTGGTTGAATCTGGTGATGATGGACACGTCGATAAACGGCTTTGGTTCTTTGGAGGCGAAAACTGAAGTTAGAGTGTCGGCTCATCACAACAGATCAAACATAAATATCTCATATAATTAAACATGTTCTGTGAACCCTGATGATGATGATGATGATGATCCGTCAGTTCATCTACTGTACGAATCATTAAATACTTTCATGTGTGTTGTAGCTGATATTCGTCACTTCCTGTTTGTTCCTCAACATTTATGGATGTAAATGTGAATCACTGAGTCAGAGTCTGTTAACACGGTGCTGATGATGTGTTCAGGGTCTGTGTTGTGTTAACACGGTGCTGATGATGTGTTCAGGGTCTGTGCCGTGTTAACAGGGTGCTGATGATGTGTTCAGGGTCTGTGTTGTGTTAACACGGTGCTTATGATGTGTTCAGGGTCTGTGTTGGGTTAACACGGTGCTGATGATGTGTTCAGGGTCTGTGCTGTGTTAACAGGGTGCTGATGATGTGTTCAGGGTCTGTGTTGTGTTAACACGGTGCTGATGATGTGTTCAGGGTCTGTGCCGTGTTAACAGGGTGCTGATGATGTGTTCAGGGTCTGTGTTGTGTTAACACGGTGCTGATGATGTGTTCAGGGTCTGTGCCGTGTTAACAGGGTGCTGATGATGTGTTCAGGGTCTGTGTTGTGTTAACACGGTGCTGATGATGTGTTCAGGGTCTGTGTTGTGTTAACACGGTGCTGATGATGTGTTCAGGGTCTGTGCCGTGTTAACACGGTGCTGATGATGTGTTCAGGGTCTGTGTTGTGTTAACACGGTGCTGATGATGTGTTCAGGGTCTGTGTTGTGTTAACACGGTGCTGATGATGTGTTCAGGGTCTGTGCCGTGTTAACAGGGTGCTGATGATGTGTTCAGGGTCTGTGTCGTGTTAACACGGTGCTGATGATGTGTTCAGGGTCTGTGTCGTGTTAACACGGTGCTGATGATGTGTTCAGGGTCTGTGCCGTGTTAACAGGGTGCTGATGATGTGTTCAGGGTCTGTGTCGTGTTAACACGGTGCTGATGATGTGTTCAGGGTCTGTGTCGTGTTAACACGGTGCTGATGATGTGTTCAGGGTCTGTGCCGTGTTAACGCGGTGCTGATGATGTGTTCAGGGTCTGTGTTGTGTTAACGGTGCTGATGATATGTTCAGGATCTGTGCCGTGTTAACACGGTGCTGATGATGTGTTCAGGGTCTGTGTCGTGTTAACGGTGCTGATGATGTGTTCAGGGTCTGTGTTGGGTTAACACGGTGCTGATGATGTGTTCAGGGTCTGTGTTGTGTTAACAGGGTGCTGATGATGTGTTCAGGGTCTGTGCCGTGTTAACAGGGTGCTGATGATGTGTTCAGGGTCTGTGCCGTGTTAACAGGGTGCTGATGATGTGTTCAGGGTCTGTGTCGTGTTAACACGGTGCTAATGATGTGTTCAGGGTCTGTGTTGTGTTAACGGTGCTGATGATGTGTTCAGGGTATGTGCCGTGTTAACAGGGTGCTGATGATGTGTTCAGGGTCTGCGTCGTGTTAACAGGGTGCTGATGATGTGTTCAGGTCTGTGTTGCGTTAACACGGTGCTGATGATGTGTTCAGGGTCTGTGCCGTGTTAACAGGGTGCTGATGATGTGTTCAGGGTCTGTGCCGTGTAAACACGGTGCTGATAATGTGTTCAGGGTCTGTGTCGTGTTAACAGGGTGCTGATGATGTGTTCAGGTCTGTGTTGCGTTAACACGGTGCTGATGATGTGTTCAGGGTCTGTGCCGTGTTAACAGGGTGCTGATGATGTGTTCAGGGTCTGTGCCGTGTAAACACGGTGCTGATAATGTGTTCAGGGTCTGTGCCGTGTTAACAGGGTGCTGATGATGTGTTCAGGGTCTGTGCCGTGTAAACACGGTGCTGATAATGTGTTCAGGATCTGTGTTGTGTTAACAGGGTGCTGATGATGTGTTCAGGTCTGTGTTGCGTTAACATGGTGCTGACGATGTGTTCAGGGTCATATGTGCTGTTGTATGAGGACAGGCAGAGGACAGACGGAGTGTCCACACTGGACAGGTTAAGGAGGACCCACCTGAGTCCAGAGCAATGGATTTGGGAGGAGGAACAGGATGGAAGACGATGGGAAAGATGGCGCCCGGCAACTGGTTATCCACCTGTACGGAAAGACCACGCCAGTCACACATGTAGGAACAATAGAAACGTGACGAGCTCAGAGAGCGGACTGTTCAGACGCCATTCAAATAAATTTCTCTTGATTTATTAACAACACCACACCGTCAGAGGGCAGTGAATGCGCCACACTGTTCATTAACTCATCTGGAAGCAGTTCAATATTTTTTAAAACCGACACTCATGTCACTGGTGAGAATCAGATCAGATTTATGACCACACCCTCTGATTGATCTACCTGTCCTGACACAGGTGTGAACGACACACGTTCTGAGGATACAGCAGATCACCTGCTCAGGTGAAAATTAAACATACAGAACAAAAATAATATGTTCCTTAATAAACTGCTGTTTTTACTGTTTTACCTGTGTTACTTGAGACAGCACTAGTTAAAATTAATACATACTTTCAACATATTGTACCACAGTAGCCAGAACTATAACTATAATATTATTACTTTCAATAATGTTGTTGTAACCTACTGTCATTACCTGCATCTCTCTCTCTCTCTCTCTCTGTCTCTCTCTCTCTCTCTCTGTCTCTCTCTCTGTCTCATTGTGTCATATGGATTACTGTTAATTTATTATGCTGATCTGTTCTGTACGACATCTATTGCACGTCTGTCCGTCCTGGAAGAGGGATCCCTCCTCAGTTGCTCTTCCTGAGGTTTCTACCGTTTTTT